GAGCTTTCTGTTCACTTTCAAATCAGTTCTAAAACTGTCTGAAATTTTATTTTCGTCGCCTTTCTGCTTCGTTGGACCAATTAACATTGTATTAAGACGATTTTTATCGTCATTCTTCTCCGAAAATTCGGCATTGTAATCCAATTTTCTCGTTTGTCTCGTTTCTCCTTTCTGCTCGATCTCTTTATTTGCGTATTTCCGCATAAAATAAAACTTTTTGTATTTCTTATAATTTTCTATAAAAGAAGGAAGCTTCGACACTTCACTTCTTGAATTTTTAATTACTTGTGGTTCAGTTACGCCTCGCTTTATTTCAAAGTCATCATGATCTTGATTCTTGTCCATTAGCGATTCTTTATTTTTTTGAGTCGTTGGTATCACGAGCCAGTCCAATTTTCGAATTTTCGAGTTTCTTCGTGGAATACGGACACCACTTCTGTTTTTAAATTGTGTTGAAAACACATTCTTCAAGTTTTCGTTGTAAGCAACGTCCTCCTCGGTTGGAGAACCGAGGAGCAACGAGCTTGGATCACTCACGAATTTGTTTTTTAGATATATCCTATAGTTTTGCCCCATAGGAGCATAAATTAAAATAAATAATGGTAAAATAACCATTAATATAACGCATATATTCATTTTTTATCTTCGAAAACACTTGTAGAACTATTTACTTCTGTAAATATTGTTAAACAATACTAGCATTGTTTGCATTATTGAAAACGCAATAATGAAATCGTTTACGGAACTTCATGTATATTAATATTTTTACAGGATTCGTGTACACAAATTTGACATAATCGTAAATACTAATGCCTGTTTGCATAATATTTTATCTAATATTCAAATTTTAGTCTGTTGACATCGAAAAGTTTCATTTATTTGAAACGTCTCATGGTTTCGAACGCATGAGGCGGTACCAATTTGGACCCGGATAAACAACCGTACCCAAATTGGTGGACGAGAACACATGGGGCGAGGTCATAGATGCACGGTGATGACGGAAAGTAGCTTCAGCATCGGACAAAACCCCTACCGCCCACTATGAAAGCTCGAATCGCCCACTAGTGGGCTGTAGGGACCAGGTTGACTACCACTGATCTAGACTCTGAGCGTGCATTAGTTCTAAATTATGCCTCCACGGCGGACAGCGGAAAGGCGGAAACTGAATTTGTGCCAGTTTCGGGTCATAGTTTACAAATTATGACTGCTTTATTCGTAATGTCTGTTAGTTAAAAATGAAAATAAATTAATGGATAGACTACTTGCTTAAAAATGAATTTTTCCATAAAAAAAATTAATGCTGTAAAATTATGGGATGGAATTGTAAATGAAATAAAACATAGGGAAACTTAAAATTTTATTTTAATGATCTGAAACCGTGCTTTAAATTTTGTTGCTGCTTCGAATACAATAAAATGTAATAAATTAAGTGCAATAAACTTAAAATTTGATATTCTTCCATTGAGAGAATTGCTATTATTGTTATTATTATTAGTAATTGAACGTTCTGTAATATGCATAAGTATATAGCCAAAAAAAATTTTTGTTTTCATTAATTATAAATTCATTATTCACATGACACATGCAACCATAATATTGTGTGAATAACATTATTTTGGAAAAAAGACTTAGGATAGTTATAGAGAAAAGACAGGGTTCAAGATATACCTCCTCTCACTCACAGCCAATTATAGGTGGAGGGAACGTAATGTTTGCTAGGAGGAATTACTCGGCAGTTTTTTCTTAATCGGCACAAGTTTAAAATTTAGTACATACTTGAAATCATAACGCAATCTCTAAAATCAGTATTCCTGGTTACTTAAGCTATTTTATAACTACTTTCTAAATCTTGATGAAAGCCTAACATAAAAGCTAGAAACTTATATGCACATAAATTTCGATTGTTTTATGGAGTATATGCAATTTCTAAACGTTTATTGTTTTCTAAACAAATTACGGTATATTACATAATTGTAGTATAATTCTTTATATGCAGTATTTTTTATCATTAAATAGTAACATATTTAACACTTCCATATCATTAGAACATAAGGGCAGATAAGACTGAATGTCAAGATGTAATTTTTATAATAAATAAAATGTCAAGTGGTATGGACATCATCACTATTGTTCCTATCCAGATATGTCCCTGATAGAACAATATACTAATATTAGGAACGTCAATGTTGAAAACTGGTACAATACTATACTACAATGCTAAGATTCATATCATTTAACCTCTATATTCATGATTTCATTTGCATTAATTTCCATTTAAGTAATATTTGAAATATTCGAAGATAAGTAATATTCGAAGATAAAATAATGATAGCAGAAAACAAATTACTATAAAAATAGATTCTTTGTAGTAATTTGCTAATTAAATATATAAGAAAACACCAAATCGAATAATAAGTACAAATAATTAAATTTTAATACCATGAAATTCTAAGTATATAAATTTCAAATATACATTTATCATTATTCATTAGCTTCCCAGGAAAATATTTTGTATAATTATGTAATATCATGTATCTCGCTGAAGTGTGACAATATTTCTTCTTTTTTATGATATTTACCTGAACACAAACTACATTTAAATAATTTAATATCTTATCATTCTTGTTATAGTCCTTTATTCGTACGCTTCGTTCTATTTAAACTTTGTTTGTGATTATATTTCAAATTACACTATTATTTTTTCTAATTTTAAATTCCTATATTCAAAGTAATACGAAACTGGTGATTGCTAATTAAATTTTTTCAATTGTTAACGGTTATTTTGAGAGTAAGGCGAATTTCTGAAATTATCGTATAAAACCCCATTATTGTGCAAGCATTATCAGACATCATATGGCCCCTGAAATATAGATGACACCCTTGATTGAAAGAAATGTCTATATCAACGAGGTAGAGTAAACATAGAGAGGCGAAAGTGCCACCAGACCGAAGCAACTTGAAACTCTGTCCGCCATGTTTCCTTTAGTCAAAACAAGGAGGCGGGCCTCTGAACGTGATAGAAAACAAAGTATTTCAATGAAAGAAAGAATACCATTTTGCATTCAAATGTAATAAATTAGACACTCAGATATTATTTTATGATTAACATAAATAATATTTAAAAAGGTGTATCTATATTTTTCTGAAAAAGTAGTTGTGATGAGTAGGATACATTGGTCCCTTCTCATAGCAGAAATCCATTTATTTATTTGTCAAGTTTTCATTCTTTAAACCTCGGACCTAACATAAGAATTGCTCTTGGGATTCTGTTAACGTTCCCAATAACTGTTGTCAGTGAAAAAAGGTCCTTTTCCAAGTATTTCTTGTATCAAGAATGCACAAGAAATACTTAGTAGTTTAGCTATGCTTGCAAGAGAATAAGATTTATGCAATAATATTAATTTTCAACAAATTATCAGAGACTTTGGCGAAATAAATATCAGGAGAAAGCATTTTAAATTTGTGTTTTATATTTTTCAAAATATTTTGTATTCTTGTTTGTATTTTTACGTTTTGAAATTTTTTTTTCGATAAACAACTGTTTATTTTACAAAATAAATAATGTGTTAACATTTAACGTGTTTGTGTTTTCGGGGTGATGTTATTTCATGTATGGAGTAAATCAGATCTTTCCATTAAGCCAACACTTTGATATCTCCATATTAACCTTAGATATTGTAGATGGAATTTTGCTTATTATCCGCCAATATGGGTGAAGGACGTGCCCCGATCTGAAATAGCTACTTATTCTTGATAAAAATATTTTTTTATTAACTTTATTTTTATTCGATTATTAGACTTGTTAACGGATGTTGTCGATAGTAATTTTAAGGAAATCAACTTTTAGTTAGAAACAACAAATTTAACACTAAGAAAAGCGTTTATTTATTTAAATATTATATACTTCTGAATATTAAACCTAGCAGCAAATAAACAACAATTTAAAACAATAAAAAAGATTTTTAAAACGCGTTTTAGACACTTCCTGTTTGCATTCAGTTATCTTTAAAGAAGTAGAATTCCTTTAACTGTTAAATCTAAGTATTGTAAAAATAATTATTAAAATATAATGTTAATAAAATTTAAATTAAAGGAAAAATACTTTAAAATCTGAATATTCTGTATTTAAATTTACCTTGCTGTTGGAACGTGATAATAAATAACCGTTAAGACAATTTAGAATGATTTTCTGATATAATCAAATCACAGTTTACAAAATGCTATTCATCATTGAACTCTGCAATATGCAAAGGATATTAATTATTTTATTTTTTCTTCGGAGAAGTTATTAAAATTATCGTTTCATTTGATACCAGATTTAAAAAAAAAATTAATTTTTAGGTTGTACCTAAATTCAGTGAAATATTTTAGTAAGAAAGTTTAGTACAAGTGAGAATAAATAATCTAGTGAAGGAAATAAAAAATATTCACTTCATCAAAGAACATATTTAACATAATTTAAATAATTTAATTAGAATTTTATCATATGTATGAATAAATAGTTAAAAATTTAGCCTGGTAATAAAGGACGATAACAGGAAATTAATAAATTTTTTTTAATTTTCTTCAAAAACAAATTAAAATGTTTGTTATTGTATTTTAATTTTGGAGTTTAATAATAAACTCTGCAGTTTCAAGTTTTAATAATTTATTTTACAATTATTATATTTTAAAAAATAGCACGATATTTCACCGATGAATACAAATTACATTTCTGTAACTATAATTTTCTGTTTTTTATTAATTAATAAATAAATATTATACATAAGTAATAAACTATTTATTTAATTTATGTAAACATTTCATATTTACTCTATTTCTGAAAAAAAAATTCTACAATGATAAAATATTTTATCTTTAAAATTTTGTAAATTATCTATTTTAATTAATGTATAGCTTACGATAAATAATAATCTTATTCTAGCATTTAAAATATATATGAAAAGGCTTTCGCTTTATCAGTTTGTATATCGTTCTTATTAATAATTCTCCGAATTTAGTCTGACAAATGTTCTCCTTGCGAACGTTTCCTGTTTGTATCCGGTAAAGAAAAGGAAATCATTATTCTCCATTTCCACTATTGAAGTAAAAACGACAGACTAAAGAAATATGTTAAAAAGGATTTATTTAATATGTCTTCTTCTTATTCCCGTAAAACTGCAAGGTAAGACAATTTTTAATGTAATTAAAATACATTTCTTTCTTTTAATTAACATAAATAAATAAGTATATAAGGAAAAATAATATATATTAGTTTCCTCATATATTTAGCTATTTGCTTTGTATATGATTAGTTATTTGTGTTTATACGTTCTAATAATAATTTTAAAGAATACGCGTAAATTGGTTTATAATGAATAATTTATTCTTTAAAAATAGAGGAATAAAACATGTATTATTATAAATTTAAATTTAATCACTTTATCATTAAAATTAAAAAACAAAAACGCATATTCCACCAACATAATAGTTTCGTGTAAAGCTATAGATATATTGTAGCGTCAGAATATTGTACTGTATTATTAGATTCATTCAATCTTTAATACAATTACACATTAACTTGCATTAATTTGGTTTAGTTTATATGATAATGATATCAGAATTTATTATTTAAAAATACAATATATAAGACGAATGTATTGTACTAAGATACGCACTCAGATATATTACAGTACAGTACGCATAACATGTATATTTTTCTTCGAATAAATCGTGCAATAATTTACCCTACATCCGTACTTATGTACTTTATATATATAGGGTGGAAAGAGTTTAAAAGTTGAAAAAATAACTTATATATAAAAGTATATTGTATATCGTATAATACTTTTTATATCTTTTACACTCTTCCCCACCTGTGGACACTAAGAGGGCTTTGTTTCCATACCATCGTGGGTTCGGCTAAGCCCATAGTGGGGTGAGAACCAAAACTAGGCATATCCAACACTGACCACCCATGTCCGGATTCACTCTAGGTCTCTTAGAGTGATGGCCAAGTCTGTGAAGGCTGACGCCTTCACAGACTTGGCCATCCGGCTGTCTTAGTTTATAGTATTATAGAATTAATATTATCGAACCATCATGTTTATTGTAGCATATTTACTGTTAAAAAAGTTTCCTAATCATAATAAGAAATTTTATAAAGTATATTTTTATTTCTCTGTGAAAGGAACTATAGTATTATAACATGCAGTTCTATTATTTGACTTTAGTAATGCGTTATGTCTTAAAGTTAAATTACGTGACTATCTGTATATAATAAAACAAAATAAAGCATTTTAAAATGTTATAAACTTAAAAATAAAAGTAACATTTAAAAGTAATTTAAAATGTCCAAACCTCTATTTGCATTTTTGCATTTAAAATATTTTGGATCTTGAGGGATAAAGCCAATTTGATATATCTAATTTCAAGATTAACACCGATTAGAAAAAATAAACTTTTTAATTGCGACTTCTCGAGAAAAGTTAGCGAATACAGAGATAAAAATCGCCTTGACCCCCCTGCAGACCATATCAGCTGCTGTTAGCAGTACGGCAGCGGATACATTCGTAATGCATAAACAGTAATGTAACTAGAACCGACATTAGGATGGACGAAACTAAACTCTGCAAATCTACATTCACTTCACAAGCAATGTGGATGAGAATTAAACGCTTAAATGTTTGTATATACGTGTATATAAATGCTCTTGTCACTTTCAAATATTTTCTCTGCGCTTATCTGATTTTTTCTTAATTCGTTTATTTACGAAGGTAACGGGTCCGCGCCCATTAGACTTCTTGATTACCCTACTTCACTTAAATAGGAAAATAGCTTTTAATCTGAATAAGAAATACTTTCTTTATTTTAATTTTAAAACTACAATGGTATTTACAAAATCGATTCTCCATTCGATGCCCAGTAAACCGATTGTGCAACATTAACGATTTCATCTAAATTTAATTGACTACGCAATTCAATTAATCAACCTATTGACAACTAACGAATTTCTGGATAATTTTCTTTTGGATTATTTAGAATATTATATTATATCGATAGGAAAATCGCATGATATCAGCGACAAAATTTGTTGCAAAATGAGAGGATGTTGTGTTGAAAATAATCAATCTTTTAAATAATTTTTTATTCGCTATTATTTTCCCTTTAAATACAATTATTTATTGTTCTAATTTTTCGTTATTCCTTAAATAATATAAAGAAAAATATCTCATTTAAATAAAAAAAAATTAGTTTCAGACAATGAAGAACAATGTGAGCCATCATTTGCTGACGATTGTTTTGGAGATATAGAAAAGACATTAAGAGATATGCTTGATGTAAAAAACAATGTTGCAAAGAGAGTAACATATAATTCTTTGGATGAATTTTGCTGGTAATATCAACTCTTGATTTAAAATAGTTTTAAAATACAAGTATTTAAAATTCCTGTTTTAATATAAGCCTAAATATTTCGAATATAATCGGAAAAGACATTTTTGTGTATTCTTTAATTTAGGGTATTAGATGATGCTTTGAATTGTACCAGTGACATTATAGATTCAGACTGTTCTTCAGATGAAGGCCGAGATCAATTCGATTCTTGGTTGGAAGCTCTTCGTGCTGCCTACTTTTATGTGTGTGGTGGTGATTCACTCGAAGATTTGAGCGGTAAGTTTGTTGTATTATTATTGTTATTAATATTATTAACTTTAAAGCAATATGTGTTTAAAATGTTAAAAGTTTGACTTAAAAATTATAAGATATTTAATCATATAAATCATATAATTTTGCTTTTTACAGAAATTTTTAGAGGTATAGCATGTTGGAACATCGATATATTTGTCAATTGCACAATAGCAAAACTTCGAATTGGACACGTTGAAGATTTATTGTATACAAATTTAGATTTTTCAGAATGCACGTAAGTTTCAATAAGTCAATAATTTTTACTTTATTTAACTGATCATTATAAAAATATAATTAACTAGCTGTTACCCGCGACTTCGTCAGCGGAGGTTTTGCAAGCAAACCCCATTTACATCCAATATTTCAATAACCATAGTAATTGTTATATAACACCTACCGCTGAAGAGAATTGCCGAAAATCAAACGAACTATTTTCNTTTTGTTATCGGTTAGTCGCCTTCTCTCTGGATTTTCGTACAGGTCTAATTACGTAAATTTTTCCTGTTTTACGAACAAAATTTCTTCCAGTATTTAAATTCTCGATTGCATCTGGTGCAATTTCTGTATTTTCTGTTCTTAATTGACGATTCGGTCGATTATCCTTCGACAGCAAATCTTTGTTTCCATTTCGTGAATCCGTTTGCTGCTTCACGAAATCGTCTTCTTCATCCACCCATTTTTCGCTCGCCTTTTCCAAAATTGTGCAGAGATCCACTCTATATTTTTCGAGTTCCTCGCGAGTCGATGCTCTTAAAACAATGTGATTTCCTTTAAAATAATCTTTGGAATTTATATCACGTTCCATAGACGATCTGTCGTATACATCTCCAGAATGAGTAACTCGGTTCGAGTTCCTGGAGCTTCCTTTATTCACTTGAGGAGTTGGTGGTAAGTTGTTATGTTCGATGGTATGCACAGTATAAAGATCGTGCGTTTGATTGCTTAATGAAATCTTGTTAACTGAGCTCTTTTCTGACCAACAATTCTTATTAGAATTATCATTTTCCTGTGTTTTTATGTCTTGCAATGTACCAGCATCCTTACTCGTCTTTGTGAAAACACGAGAGACGCTTTCCTCTTCGGATGACACACCGGAAGATTTTCGAAAGTCGCAAGTATCATCTTCGTATAAACGATTTCGCTGTTGATATTTGTAGAATCTGGTATCATCCACTTTCTCGGATGAGCCGCTGTCTTCAGAATTTTTAACTTTGATCATCGTCTGTACAATTTCGGTCCCATTCAACAAAAAAGAATGACACTTGTCCTTCTCGGTTTTCGGTGACGTTGATGTCGAAAATAATAACGGAGTTGTTTCTTCAATATCTTCGTCCTCCAATGTTTCTTCCATTAGCAAAACAGTTTCTTTGCCTGCCTCTTCCAAACTGATGTAAAAAGACGATTCTGATAGCTGTTTTTCGTGTTCATCATGCGGAAGTAAATCAATATCGACGGAGAAGATGGACTTTAGTTGTTGGGGTACTTCGCATTTCTCTGGTTTAGACTGTTTTTCGTGAAATATCGTAAAGAAGATATACACGAACGCAGTAGTAAGTAGAAATATCAACGATATTATAAGATAAGCCACCAATACGTTGGATATGGCATGGCCAATTTTTTTTATTACGATCTTCATTTCTTGTTCTGTGAGCTTTCTGTTCACTTTCAAATCAGTTCTAAAACTGTCTGAAATTTTATTTTCGTCGCCTTTCTGCTTCGTTGGACCAATTAACATTCTATTAAGACGATTTTTATCGTCATTCTTCTCCGAAAATTCGGCATTGTAATCCAATTTTCTCGTTTGTCTCGTTTCTCCTTTCTGCTCGATCTCTTTATTTGCGTATTTCCGCATAAAATAAAACTTTTTGTATTTCTTATAATTTTCTATAAAAGAAGGAAGCTTCGACACTTCACTTCTTGAATTTTTAATTACTTCTGGTTCAGTTACACCTCGCTTTATTTCAAAGTCGTCATGATCTTGATTCTTGTCCATTGGCGATTCTTTATTTTTTTGAGTCGTTGGTATCACGAGCCAGTCCAATTTTCGAATTTTCGACTTTCTTCGTGGAACACGGACACCATTTTTGTTTTTTAATTGTGTTGAAAACACATTCTTCAAGTTTTCGTTGTAAGCAACGTCCTCCTCGGTTGGAGAACCGAGGAGCAACGAGCTTGGATCACTCACGAATTTGTTTTTTAGATATATCCTATAGTTTTGCCCCATAGGAGCATAAATTAAAATAAATAATGGTAAAATAACCATTAATATAACGCATATATTCATTTTTTTTATCTTCGAAAACACTTGCAGAACTATTTACTTCTGTAAATATTGTTAAACAATACTAGCATTGTTTGCATTATTGAAAACGCAATAATGAAATCGTTTACGGAACTTCATGTATATTAATATTTTTACAGGATTCATTTACACAAATTTGCCATAATCGTAAATACTAATGCCTGTTTGCATAATATTTTATCTAATATTCAAATTTTAGTCTATTGATATCGAAAAAGTTTCATTTATTTGGAATGTCTCATGGTTTCGAACGCATGAGACGGTACCAATTTGGATCTGGCTAAACAACCCTACCCAAATTGGTGGACGAGAACACATGGGGCGATATCATAGATGCACAGTGATGACAGAAAGTAGCTTCAGCATCGGACAAAACCCCTACCGCCCACTACGAAAGCTCGAATCGCCCACTAGTGGGCTGTAGGGACCAGGTTGACTACCACTGATCTAGACTCTGAGCGTGCATTAGTTCTAAATTATGCCTCCACGGCGGACAGCGGAAAGGCGGAAACTGAATTTGTGCCAGTTTCGGGTCATAGTTTACAAATTATGACTGCTTTATTCGTAATGTCTGTTAGTTAAAAATGAAAATAAATTAATGGATAGACTACTTGCTTAAAAAGGAATTTTTCCATAAAAAAAATGAATGCTGTAAAATTATGATATGGAATTGTAAATGAAATAAAACAAAGGGAAACTTAAAATTTTATTTTAATGATCTGAAACCGTGCTTCAAATTTTGTTGCTGCTTCGAATACAATAAAATGTAATAAATTAAGTGCAATAAACTTAAAATTTGATATTCTTCCACTGAGAGAATTGCTATTATTGTTATTATTATTAGTAATTGAATGTTCTGTAATATGCATAAGTATATAGCCAAAAAAAATTATTGTTTGCATTAATTATAAATTCATTATTCATATGACACATGCAACCATAATATTATGTGAATAACATTATTTTGGAAAAAAGACTTAGGATAGTTATAGAGAAAAGACAGGGTTCAAGATATACCTCTTCTCACTCACAGCCAATTATAGGTGGAGGAAACGTAATGTTTGCTAGGAGGAATTACTCGGCAGTTTTTTCTTAATCGGCACAAGTTTAAAATTTAGTACATACTTGAAATCATAACGCGATCTCTAAAATCAGTATTCCTGGTTACTTAAGCTATTTTATAACTACTTTCTAAATCTTGATGAAAGCCTAACATAAAAGCTAGAAACTTATATGCACATAAATTTCGATTGTTTTATGGAGTATATGCAATTTCTAAACGTTTATTGTTTTCTAAACAAATTACGGTATATTACATAATTGTAGTATAATTCTTTATATGCAGTATTTTTTATCATTAAATAGTAACATATTTAACACTTCCATATCATTAGAACATAAGGGCAGATAAGACTGAATGTCAAGATGTAATTTTTATAATAAATAAAATGTCAAGTGGTATGGACATCATCACTATTGTTCCTATCCAGATATGTCCCTGATAGAACAATATACTAATATTAGGAACGTCAATGTTGAAAACTGGTACAATACTATACTACAATGCTAAGATTCATATCATTTAACCTCTATATTCATGATTTCATTTGCATTAATTTCCATTTAAGTAATATTTGAAATATTCGAAGATAAGTAATATTCGAAGATAAAATAATGATAGCAGAAAACAAATTACTATAAAAATAGATTCTTTGTAGTAATTTGCTAATTAAATATATAAGAAAACACCAAATCGAATAATAAGTACAAATAATTAAATTTTAATACCATGAAATTCTAAGTATATAAATTTCAAATATACATTTATCATTATTCATTAGCTTCCCAGGAAAATATTTTGTATAATTATGTAATATCATGTATCTCGCTGAAGTGTGACAATATTTCTTCTTTTTTATGATATTTACCTGAACACAAACTACATTTAAATAATTTAATATCTTATCATTCTTGTTATAGTCCTTTATTCGTACGCTTCGTTCTATTTAAACTTTGTTTGTGATTATATTTCAAATTACACTATTATTTTTTCTAATTTTAAATTCCTATATTCAAAGTAATACGAAACTGGTGATTGCTAATTAAATTTTTTCAATTGTTAACGGTTATTTTGAGAGTAAGGCGAATTTCTGAAATTATAGTATAAAACCCCATTATTGTGCAAGCATTATCAGACATCATATGGCCCCTGAAATATAGATGACACCCTTGATTGAAAGAAATGTCTATATCAACGAGGTAGAGTAAACATAGAGAGGCGAAAGTGCCACCAGACCGAAGCAACTTGAAACTCTGTCCGCCATGTTTCCTTTAGTCAAAACAAGGAGGCGGGCCTCTGAACGTGATAGAAAACAAAGTATTTCAATGAAAGAAAGAATACCATTTTGCATTCAAATGTAATAAATTAGACATTCAGATATTATTTTACTATTAACATAAATAATATTTAAAAAGGTGTATCTATATTTTTCTGAAAAAGTAGTTGTGATGTGTAGAATACATTGGTCCCTTCTCATAGCAGAAATATATTTATTTATTTGTCAAGTTTTCATTCTTTAAACCTCGGACCTAACATAAGAATTGCTCTTGGGATTCTGTTAACGTTCCCAATAACTGTTGTCAGTAATAAAAGGTCCTTTTCCAAGTATTTCTTGTGTCAAGAATGCACAAGAAATACTTGGTAGTTTAGCTATGCTTGCAATAGAATAAGATTTATGCAATCAGATTAATTTTCAACAAATTATCAGAGACTTTGCCGAAATAAATATCAGGAGAAAGCATTTTAAATTTGTGTTTTATATTTTTCAAAATATTTTGTATTCTTGTTTGTATTTTTACGTTTTGAAATTTCTTTTTCTTTTTTTTCGATAAACAACTATTTATTTTACAAAATAAATAATTTGTTAACATTT